CCTCAATGGTTATTTTGGGAGGGAACATTTTTCCGTTTTTTTTTCAATCTAGTAGATCCACCACAAACAGCGACTAATAGTAATTGACACTCAAAACAACAAATACCACTTTGCCATTGCTAACATCAGTATATTCAGGTGGGGAGAAAAAAACGAACTGAAGCTGAACGCAGACAAAACTAAGGCAATTCTCATCGGTTCCAGGCATCTCATTAGTCCGCTTCCTTCCTTTCCTTTACTTCACCTCAATAACCGCCCCATCCATTTTTTCCCAGCAGTAAAAAATCCCGGAGTAATCTTTGATCAGAACTTTCTCTTGGAATAACCACATTTCCCAGATTACCCGAAAATCTATAACAATCCTTAAGCAATTCCTACGACTCCGTGAATCCATTCAAAAAAACACCAGACAGCTCCTTGTAGCATCCCTTGTTTTCCCCCACTTTGACTACGGTTGCTTGGTGTATGGAGGACTGTCTACAAGACTGAAGAGAATCATGAATTGCTTCATAAGATTCAGTTTTGGGATCCCCAGGCGTGCTCATGTTTCCTACTTATATACCGAATTGAAGTTGCTCTATCCTACTTTCTGATGTCAATTACTTCTTGGTATTTTCTAATTCCTCAGAACCAAAAATCCTCCCCACATCCTTTAACTCCTTACTCTACGATCCTCTATCCACTCTCTTAATACCACATCTCAACCTATAGATCTTTCTTTTATTGGATAAACTCCGATCCACCATTTACGGAGTACGAGGGGGTTTGTTCTAGAGGTACAACCAAACCTAGTCTAACCAGAATGGGAGGGATCGAGTCTCACATTACGTGGGCCCGCCACGAAATAAAAGTAAATCCCTCCCAGGACGGATTCGAACCGGCGTGGCTAGGCACAAAGATGCCAGAACAGTTGACGCTACAAAACACTAGGCCATCACGATCTCACAACCTACAGATCTATGTTGCCCCTCCCATAAAACCACTTTCTTCAGAAAATCCTTCGTTATTTGTGCAATCTCCTTTTGAAACTCCTTACCTATCTCCATACGTCAAGCCACGTCCACAAATTCCTTCAAACAACTTCTATTCTTCCACTTATTACACATTTAAAAATCCGCAAGCTTGTAAGAATTTTTAGGTCATATAATTATAATTGCTTGCCAACAGTTAATTGACATTATATTTTTAGTATTTTTTGTATATAATTGTATTTTCTAAAGATTCTATGTATATATTCGTATAATAACATATACCAGACTGAAGTACATATTTTTTGAACTTCTGCTGTTATTCTAAGGGGACTTTAGTCCCAAAATAAAATTATTTTTTATTTCATTCATTTCATATTCACTGATTATTTTAATGTCTTGTAATGGTTTAGAAAAACGAATTATTGTTGCTCCTTATTGCAAAAAAATGTAGAGCGCTGTGAGTAAAATATGAGAGATGTAGAAGCGAGACTTAGAAAGCACCGCTGCTAGACGAGCGAGGGAACTTTCAGGAATGAAATATCAGCATTACTTAGGGAATAGGAATACGGCCGGAAAAAAAAGACGGGCCTGTTATTTTGACAACCTCCGCAGGGCTTTTGATCTCCTGGCAAAAAAAAAACATCTCGGGACGGCTAAACACGAAGGGATAGGGAGGAATACAGGAATGAACAAAAGGCTAACTCTTAAAGCATTCCATTCGTTAGCCCGGAGTAATATGCCTTGGGAACTTCTGCTTCGTGGCACACATAATATTTGTTTTAGCATCTTCCTCCATCATACATTTTGCTCATAGCGAGGAAGAGGAATTTGTTTCTCAATTTTCGACATTGGCTGTTATCAAAGTTCATCGAGGTTTGATGCAACTGTGTTCAATAATTTATTTTAAATTTATTTCTTCCTCCTCCATCCCTGATAACCCACCGAAGCGTCTGAAAAAAAGATGGACACGAGATCTCCTGTTGTAAATATATTTTTAGAGCGCTGCTAGTGGATAGTTTTTCAACAAGTGGTTTTATGTTATTATATTCTTGTGTTCACATTTACTGAATTTATTTTTACTTCTAATACAGTTCTAAATATGATAAATAAATAAAAAAAACAGTATCCCATAATTACCACGATCAGAAAAATAAAAAACAATATATGTGGAAAAATGTAATTAAATTTTTTGATCGAATTGGTTTACGAACTCGAAACTTAATGTATATGATACGAAACTTAATGTACCTGGATGATACACGAGATAAAACAGATAGTTAATTAATTAATCAGTAGCGAATTTATTATGGATTTGAGAGACCCTGCCATGGCACACTCAGTCTCTAAATATAACCTAATTTTCCTCCAAAACCTATCTATCTAGCCCAGATTATCTCCTTATATAACCGTAGAAAAACAAATCAGTTCCCATTGAACCTGGCCATCTTAATTGGTATTTTAATAAGAAATTGCACATGAATAATAAAAAAAAAAAAACTTTGCGTATGAAATATGAAGAGTAAGTGAAACCATTTCAAGTAACTGAGCACCAAACAAAATATGCAATTGCATAAAAATTCGGGCCTTGATCATAAACAAAATTAATACATCTACAAAACTATCTATGGACTGAAATCACGAAATGTTAACTATGTAAAAACATTAATTAACATGCGCTGAATAAACGTTTTCTCTATGTCCATGAATTTTACGCCAGCATCACTACATGAAATTAATTGCAATAGCCAAAGCCAACGGTCGATGTGACGGCATTTACATTAAAATTAAACCACTAAAAAAAAAAATTCTTATGAATAATAACGTAGAATCTCCACAAATATCAGATATAATCTGAATTTCTTTTATTTGTGAAATAACAGGAAGAAAGGCTCATTGTATTTCTATTAAATGTGGGCGGAAACCTATCGCACCGTTATCTCTTATGAAATTTCTTTTGTTATTTTTCAATAATGATTTTTTTATACGAACTTATTCTATTTTTTTATTTTTTACTTCCGAAGCGAAAAAAAGAAATTAATAAATCAATATTCATTTAAATTCTATTTATATTAACCTAAAAATAAAATATAAGAACCTGATAAAAGAATATTTTTCATTATTTCGATGCTATAAATACAATTATGTATCAGAAATTTATGGCCTAGTAATCTTTTACTCATCAGTTTATTTTTATCTTTGATAGTTTATTTGCGTTACATCCACAGAAAATGATGTACAGCGTGAAATGAATATATAAAGAAGTTAATACTTTTAGATAGCTTTTTTGATTATGTGTGAGTAAATGTTGTCGGTCAACAAACTTAAAGTAATTCCGCTCATGTCATTACATCATATTTCAGGAATGAAACAATCAATATATATTTTTTCATCAAATATCGGGATTTTTTAAAAGAGAGAAGCCAGAATGTTGAGCAAAATGTCAAAAGGCAACTCAAGAAATAAATAAAGCTAAGATAACAAAAAGGGAAAGAATAAAAAACACTTCAAACAAAGACTCAACCAACCAATCACGTTATACAATACAGCTTATAACCCAGCGACCGACATATGATAGAAATTGAATCATTGTGCCATTCCAACAATGGAGGAGCTTCCATTGAAAAGAAGTCTGATATAACCTATAAGAAACCAATACAACTTACTCTATATTGATACCAGTGTTAATAAAATTAGTGATCAATTTATTGTATATTATTATTATATCTTTGGTTTAAGGTAGCTTCGCCTTTTTTTTTATGTTAACATATTTACAATAGTTCGGTTTACAGGACATCTTCGATGTTTGTTCTTTTTTTCCCCAAAAATTGCAAACTGTTCAAATATGTGGATACTCTAGGACCACTACGACAATCCATTCAGTTGATCTGAAATATTTTTTTTAATATCGGCCGAGGATCGTCAAATATTTTTACTTTCACTATACTGCATATGAAATATATATATATATATAGCAAGTACTGCGATCGTAAAAAAAAGCTTGTCAGCTTTAACATTAGGAGACCAGCTGCACTGGTTCGCACTAGCGGATCAAGGATTTAATTTTTTTTTTGGGGAGGGTACTTCAGCCCGAAAGATTTTTTTTTCATATACATATTGCGATAATTAATTAGAAAAAAAAAGAAAGAAATTAACTACCTATATGAAATGGTGTTCAAGTGGTTCTTGAAGTCCTATTAAATGTAATTACACGAACAAGAATACTTTAAGAGATAGTTTTAAATACTTTTTCTGTAAAACATGGTCATATTTTATCATTTTGGGGGGCTTCAGGCCGAAAGCCCCCTCTCTCTCCCACATCCCCCTCCCCCCCTTAGATCCGCCTGTGCTGGTTCGAATCCGTTGAGTTGAAGTTTGATTCGTGGTAGATCACTAAGGGATTCAGGATTTAATTTTGGAGATGCTTCGGCCCGAAAGATTTGTTGTTGTATGTATATATTATGATAATTACTTCGGCAGTAAGAAAGAAACTAAGTACCTACATAAAATGGTGTTTAAGTCCTATTACATGTAGTTAAACGAACAATAATACTTTTAGAGATATTTTTTTTCATAAAACATGATAATATTTTACCATTTTGGGGAGCTTCAGTCCGAAAGCTCTCTCCCCCATAGATCCCGCTGGGTGGCAGACCAAAGGAATGAATATCAATCATTCCATATGCATACATGGAAGGTGTCCTTCATTGAACAAGAAAGTGATGTGTGACAGGAAATGATACTTTTACAAAACAAAGTGGGACACTCTAAGAGACTTAATTTCAGTTTTTTCTCACAATAATTAAGATTCAAAATCATTTATACATTGAAGATAACAGATTTTAAGAACATGATATACTTTATTCATTTGTCTTTGATTATATATTAGTTAATTTTCCATTAGTTCAGTTCTGTTACTGGAATACAGTAATTCAGTTTTAGAAGTTAGAAGATGTTAAATGAGATTCACCTGAGGCAGTTTGTGACAGCTTAATACAAGCTTGTTAATATCAGCTTACAGGAGGCAGAAACATGGCTGCCTTAATGCCTAAGTACCAGCAAGCCCTAAACACTAGGCACCAACTCAGTCAACTGTAGGCTAAAACAAAGCAGCCCCAGGGGTTTAAACTGCTGTTGTTTCGTACAGTCATTTATGACTGTCGTCTGTATCAATGAGTTCTAATACACCTGAAGTCATTTAAAGATGACCAGAAAATTGGTTGGTGGAACCAATCCTCAAAACATGTTTAACTAAATAATTGAACATGGAATATGGTGAATAATAATTGGTGGTGGTTTTGACAGAGATTAGTACTTAATATTTTCAGTAGATGGGAACCAACAATTAATTCTACAATCTTAAGGTGAAAAAAATATTGGAAATAGAATCCGAAATTTGTAATTAAAAAAAAATAATTAAATCACAATAAGTTAATTTTTTATCAATCTATTTATACAATAGCAATGCTTAAGGATAGATAGAATGTTGAATTGTATCAAGTTTGTGGCAAAAACAAAAATATTCTTAGCTGAATGTAATGTACCAAACTTAACATTGACATAATCTTTTATTTTTATACCTCATCAATATACTGTTATATTTTTCCTTATCTATCACTGTATAATATAAACATGGTTTAATTGTCTCACATTTTCTTTAAATATCTCTCTATGATATTGAAGTTAAATTTTTTTTTTTTTTTAATAAGCATGTTTTTATTTCATAATTAGTAATATGAGTGGAATCATATCAAAAACGGACATCTGTAATTTTTAAAAGATTAAGAAAAGGCCAATTTTCTATAACATAGCTTCAATTTAAACTAATTATTATGATTGATAAAACTTGAACATCCTTAGATAAAATCATCAGAAACAGTATGATATGCAACTAAAAAACCAAATGAGGACTCATTTGACAAGCAGAAGAGGAGGAACATCATAAGTTAGCCTGATGAAGATCTGATAAAAGACCGAAATCGTTTGAACAAAGGGAGAAAAATAAAGAATTATACAGGAAGACATCTTTTTTATTAAATTAAATTTCAATCCTGTAACATCAAGCCTCAATTAAGGAAACATACTATTTTCGAGATAATGCAAGGCAAAGGGTTCGTATCCACTCAACTTTACATTAATTTTAGTAGAACCATGGAATACATGTCTCTTTCGTCGAATTATGATCGAAAGAGGGAGAGTTTATATTGTTTATCAAGGTGTATTTTTATCGGTAAGCCATATCATTGTTAATTTTTCATCAAATCCGAAGATTGAGCCACAAATTTTGAAGGATTCCTTCTACTGCAGGTGGGAAAAATAGTCCAATCACCCCGAAAATTCAGACAAAAAGTTACACACTTAATAACTCAAAACCTACACACTTTTCCCATGGTTATGTCCATGATTATATAAAGATTACTAAATTCCCTATAAAAGGAAAATGATTCTCAAAATCGATTAGAAATTTTTCACTTATTATTTATTTGTTTTTGCTAATTTTCAATTAATATTCATTAGGAGAGCTCTATTATAGCCCATTTCATTTCAAAATAACTACCTATTTGGCATATAGCTTTAGTATGAGTAGAATAAAGCAAAGTGGGTTCAAATATTTTTAAAGGAAAAACAGAGTTGAGATTTGTATTTTAAACCTCGATAAAGCCTTAAGTACGAATTTTCATATAAATCAAAAAATAATTTTTGTTTGCACCAAATCAGAACCAAACCTCCCCCCTTCGATTTTCTTTCAAAAATCACAAAAAGTGGAATCACATAAAAATGACTCCACTTATCCTCATGAAAATTTATAGTAAGTTAGGACTACATAAGCTACACCAAATGACACAAACCAGAACTAGAGATATAAAACAAATCAAAAAATCTGAGGAGTTTTTCAATATTTATTGTTTTTAAATGTGTCAAATCTAAAAGTTATTGATATGGTTTTAAAGAGTAATAACTCGGCTTTTCAACGATCATAGAGACATTGAATTAGAAAAAAATCCTGTGGAGTTATGAATTATATACTGAATAGCAGAGGGAAAAATCAAATAGAAAGTCAAACTGCGTTTCTATGGCAACATGGTCAACAGAATATTTCTTTTAGTGGATAACCTCCTACCCACCATTGCTGACATACGGGAGGGGAATTGTTCTAGAGGTACAACCAAACCAATTCTACCAGAGTGGAAGAGTCGAGTTTTATTCCATAGGTCCGCCATGAAAAAAAAGTCAACCACTCCCAGGCCAGATTCGAACCAGTGTTGCTAGGCACCTGGATGCTAGACCAGGCAATGCTCCAACATACTCGGCCACCACGACATTATCAGCAGAACATTGCTATCCCTAATCCTATCATTATATCCTCACTTATATTATTACAGTAAGGGTTATGTCCAAGATTATATAAAGATTACTAAATTCCCTACAAAAAGAAGAATAAATCTTCAAAATCGCACAATTATTAGCAAAAATATAGCTTATTGAAATTTGTGAACATTTTTGGTTCCAAACATTAATGCAGTATTAAATTAATTTTTGTTTCATTTGGCGAGAAAGTAACAATTGGTATCTTATGATACTTAATATTATTTAATTTTCTAATTAATTTGTCATTTGATACTGAACAATATACTATAAAAAATGTTTGCATGGGCCTACTAGTTTTAAAATATTTTTAAACTAGACATTTCATTGGAATATCATGATAAAATTTAAAGACTTGCAAACTAACAAGAACAGAGTAGAATTTCCTTACTTTTTTTCATTTCACAAACAATGACGATTAACAAACAACACAAAAATGTAACCACATCCTGTATGGCAACTTCATCATTACAAAATAGGAATAAATTTATTTTACTGTTCTAAACTAGCTCACTCATCCTTTTCTTCTTTTTTTTTTTAGTTCTATGGCAGTATCGCACAGAACAAGACCCAGCCAAAAAAGAAGAAAGAAAAACAAACCTCATGAAAGAAGTCATTCCATTTTATTTAAGGAGATTTGAAAGAATAATCAGAGACAATAAAGGATTTGCTGTTGGAAATTCTGTAAGATATTTGATTATATATAAATATTGTAACTATACAATTAGATTTCTAATGATAACATATAATTTAATTAAGCTAAAATCAGATCCTGTATTTTTATGCCATTGGACATTGACCCTCTTGTCAATTTAGGTACGAAAGAATGCTTTGTTTTTCACTTTTTGAACATTTTTTTATAAAAATATTTTTCCATATTAATAAAGTAGAGTTTTTCCAAAGCTGATTTAACAAAATAAATTGCCCACACAAGGGATCAAACCAGGGCCAGGGAGTAAGGAATGCGGTATAAATTGAGTTTCCTAGTCATATACTTACTAATGTGTTAGTTATATTATGAAGCAACCAATTTAATCAACATATGATTTTGGATAAAGTTCACTGCAGATAATAAACACCCAATGCTTCACTTTATTGTTTTAGGATTGTTAAGACACCATTAAACATATTTTTATTTAGCATATTTGCATACAAAAACATACATTTGAATACCTAGATAATTATGTCTCAGCTTACCTAATTTCAAAAATGGTTATCAATTTGAATTGAAAGTGAATATTTGGGAAGAAAAACATAAGTTTTGAGCACACACAGACATATAAATCTTTTTTAAAAAACTATTTACATTGCTTATAGTTAAAAATTAAAAATAAATATACGAAGTATTGTTAATACTTTCAATATTTAATAATGATAATACTTTTTATACAAAATTATAATTAGAAATAAATCCACTCACTATATGAAAAACCACCTGGAATATTCGAACTTAAAAGTCATAGATGTTATGAAATGTCAAAGCAGAAACTTTGGAGTAGAATGAAAAAGTGTATAGAATACAATGGAGCATAGTGTATTTTCAGTCAATGCTATTATAATCCTGTTGTTCATTTGGATTTAAAGTCCTTATGTGTTCAACCTATGGTAGGAAAGAGGGATCGATCTTAGTATATATAACTAACATATTCCAGCTAGTCCGTGAAGGTTGAGATTTATTTCATGGCTCAAAATAAATTTCAATCCAACCTGGCCACATTCGAAATGATAATGCTTCTAATAAAAAGAATGCTAACTGGACAATACCTTAACAAGCTTAGCCATTTATGCCTCTCTAATCCATTTTAAATAATGTTTTATGAAGTTAAACTTTATATAATAAAACTAGGAATAGGTAAATGTGATAATATATCTACTAATATCTGGTTCAACTTACAGGTTACATGGGCTGATTTCGCATTTGCAGTATCTCTTGAAAACTTTGAACTGATATTCGGAAAGGACTCCCTTGAACCATATCCCAACCTGCGAGGCCTCAAAGACAGAGTTTATTCACTTCCAAGAATTAAAGAATGGATTGCTCGCCGTCCACAAACTGAGTTCTAAAACAAAAATTGTGAACACTTACCTATTATCTAAAGAAATATTTGCAGCGTTGGTGTAAAACTGTTAATTTTAATGTTTCATCCTTGTTGTATGACTAACAAATATATATTCATATATATATATAGAAGAGTATACCAGTAGACACATTCTGGGTACTACCTATTATTTAATCCAGAGTTTAAGCTAGATAATGTAGAAGAACCAAAAACATTGAATCAAAGGCCTTAAGCAAGCAAAATTAAAACACATATCAACGGAAAAGCTTTACTTCATAAAATTGAAACAAAATTGGAAATATTGTTTAAAATATTTTGTAATTGTACACTATCTTCCACTGAGCTGTCAACTGATTCAATGACCCACATATATATAAAATCGTGAACTAAACTGAATTGTAAAGTCTTTTATTTTAATTAAAAGAGAATAGCTGAATATAGAGCAATAATCAAATGCCTTTTAACAAAGGTTATCTTCAAAGATATAAAAATTAAAAAAAGGGCTGAAAACTATTAGAAAGTATCTAATCTAGGTCTGCACAAATATTTAAATGAACACCAAATACATATACAGATAAATCAACATCCAAAGGACCAACGAGGAACAAAAAAGGCACCGCAGAATGCGGTCAAATCGTTAACATTATTTTACTTCAAAGTATAAAATTTACACTTACAACATCTGTGAAGCTAACCATCGTTATGATAAATTAAACAACGAAGTTTGAACACCTCAAAAAAATTCTAATTTCCTCAGGAAAAAGTATTCATTCAACTTTTATTCAAATGAAAAAATAAACTTTTAACTTTAAGCACATGCAAGCTTTTGTAATGTTTGGATGACCATTATTTATTGAAAAAATAAAGCTGTGACAAAAAATTAAGGGGTGGTTACACTATGTCCAATTCAGGTTGAACCCATAGACTGAAACATCACCAACTGAGGTTAAAAATAAATTAAAAAGTTATAATATAGATATTTTTTTTATAATTTAATTTTTTTTTTCTCTGGAGATTGTTAAATCTAACTTCCTTTTTTAAAAATATTGTGGCCGAAAACTTCAAAATTGCTTAATACTCAGATCAGTGATTAACTGATTAAAAATTTGAGGTCATATTTTTCTATTGTTGATTGCTGTACAAATACCATTCATGCAAAGATGGGAAATAATTTTTTTTTTCATATGAAGGATTCTCTGATTAGAGAATTAAACTTAGGCATTGGCCTTTCAACACATCGCATAGGCCATCTTGAATTTACATAATCTGGCAAAGAATTATCAGCAACTATAAAAAAAAAAAATCAACCCCCCAGGCAGGATTCAGCTTTAATTCCTTAAGCATACATTATATAACATACAGTTAGGCATATATTAGCATATCTGGTTTTAAGCAGCCCAATAAAGCATTTACAAAAGTAAACTTGATAATTTGGAAGAGCCTGGTAATTTGTAAATGTTGGTAAGTAGAAAGGCAAGCAACTAGTAAAGAGCTTTGCATGAATTTGAAACAAATATTCTTGAATTCAGCTACTCTCTAAATTTCATAAGAAACATAACAGAGCTTAAATTCCACCTAAATATTATCTAAAATTAGGAAAATAAAAAGTTTATTGATGAAGAAATTACATCAAACACTAAATTCTTAATGATTGTTCAAAGAAATATTAATTGATTGTTATGAAAGATATAATTTTTTTAATATACATTAATGAAATATCTCGACAAATTTCCATGAAAAGTTAAAAAGAAAAATTATGAAACTGTTATGTGGATATATTAAACTGTATCAAATTTATAAACCCGCATGTTAAGCTAATGCTATATTAACCAGTAATATCATTGATAATGAGTGTTGTAGTGTCTAGAAAAAAAAATAGAAACATTCTCAAAACAAGCTGCAGTATGCCTCAAGAAACTGCCTCACATGCGTTTTGGAGCCTAAGTAAAAATTATTTTATAATGATGAAACTATAGTATTTAATAAATAAAATAAATAGTATAGCATTTATATGAAAGCGTATTAACAAATGATCAAATATTCTTGTAAGAGCAAATGTGTATTTTTTTATTTATAAATTTCCAATTGAATTATCATGACTACATGTTAGTTCTTGTTTCCAATAAAATTTATCAGAATCACAATATCAGAAACATTCAAATCCATTTCTAATATTTATTAGGATGTGCCATAATCACATAAAAACTGTTTGAGAGAAGATACATAATTCGTAAACTCTTTCACCTACGAGTATCTTTCATTTTGCATAATAATTCATAATTGAATTATTCATTATATTTTTTAATTCAAAAATCAAAAGAAGCAATTAAGTAAAGTTAATATTAATTGTTTCAAACATGAAATAAATGAAAGTTTTAATGGAAACAATTTTTTGTCAGACAAATATAATAATAATCAGCCATTAATGATGATAAACACTCGGAATAAAAAATGTGGCTATCCTATTATACCTGCTTTCCGTTCAAAAAATAATTTATACAACCATACTCTTTTATAGAGAAATTTATTCATTAATCTTTAATAATGTTTTCCGTATGGAGTAACCTAGGGCTTGGAATAAAGATATGAATATTTCGTATTCTTCAATAAAAACAACTTCTGATTCTTAAAATGATTCCAATTAAGATGGGCTCTTCTTTATTCATCTTTTAAACATAAGATTAAAGTGTTTTACAGGTGATAGAATAGGGAGAGCGGCCACTTATTTTGCTTCACAGAGTTTCTATCAATATAAAATATAATTAAATAAACATTGTTAATTTTATTCAAATTAAATTCAAAAATAATATAATAATTTAACATTAATTTATTCAAGCAACAAGACTTTTTTTTTTGGTTTTATAACAACAATGATGACTTTTTTTACAAGCTAAAATGGAAGCAGTAATACGTTGTTTTAGTGATAGAATATAAAATAATAGATATTTAACGCACATATAATAATTATATTTCATGTTGATGTGTATTGTTGTTACTTGTTGTACTGTAAAAAAAAAAAGAAAGAAAAAGAAATATTGATGACCATTAACTATGTTATTTGTAATTTTGCATGTTGACTAAACAAAATATCTATAAGACATTTGCATAAGATGTAAGTAAATTGTGTTAGAAATTAGTTCCTAGAAAATATGTTGTTAGGACAATAAAAATGTAAATTTTATTTTTCTGGTTTCTTCTATTTTTGTATCAGTTAGCTAGTACCAATCCTAGAATATTTTTCCCAATTTTTTTCAGAGAAATATATAAGAAAACATAATTTTTCTAGGAAGTCGTATGATATTCTTTTTTATATGGCAGTGATTACTTCCAATTAACAACAATTGAATTTATTTGCTGTATTATCAAAATTGTATGTTTACAAGTTTACGTTTCGGGAGATTTACTTCCATCTTCAGAACCACAATCCAAATTTAAAGAATATGTAAATGTACAAATCTAAAAAAGAGGAAAAAAATAGGGTAACCGAAGCTAAAGGAAATACAAATATTGGCATAAGTACCAGTAAAGATGAGATATACTTAATTGTATTATTACACTTAAGGGTTAATACAAAAAAGACTTTATCCAGTGTATGGACAGATATACCAGGGATGGGTAGGACTTTTGGAGTAAAGCCTCCAAAATGAAAAAAAAAATTTCAATGGTCCATATTTGTTAATACCTCTGAACTAAGCTAAAAACTCAAACAATCTCCTTTTAAATGACAATGCATACTATTACTAAATTTAAGCACATGTCAACAAAAAATGTAAGAAATTTATTAATTAAGACACCAACACTTTTAATCTAGAGAAGAATGAATAAATGTAAATTTATCTCTAAAATCATTATTGTTCCTGTAATTACCATATTTCTTTTTTGCCTTCGAGAACAAACATCATTTCATATTTTTTTTTCAGAATAATTACCATTAGGAGGGAGAAAAAAGAAAATCCTCCCAAAATGAAATTCTGAATTTACTGGTCATGTACAATCAAACTTCAGTAAATCAAGAAATAATGAAGGATATTATCAAATTCTTCCTAAGCTCAATGGGATAAAGTGGATCATTTCATTAAAAGATTGTTGACCAAGAAAATCTGATTTTGAAAAAAAAAAATTAAAAGTTTTACTATCCCCTTCATTAATTAGGAGAAATGAGAGAGTGGGGTAGCCGAGCGGGTTAATGCATGTGCAAATTATGCATTTCCAGACAACCAGATAAACCAATGTTAACATGATAAAATAACGAGTTTATGTCCTGGTGCCGGAGGGGCTTTTAATTCTGACATAAATTCTATGTACTCCCCCCTGATTATAATTATAACCTAAAAAATGAGGAAGAGGAAGAGAAAAATAATAGTAGAAATAAAATCATAAACATACTTATTTTTTTTAAGGTTTAGGCAATTAAACTTCCATTTTTCTTTAGTCTCTTTTAATCACATTTATTACATCTGACATTTCAGGACAATTTTCCCATCCTCAGAGAATACTTTATGTTTATTTGACTTTGTAATGTGGCACCAATTGTCAAAAATTACAATAATTTTCATATCTATTTATATATAATACTTTTTGGTGTTATACATTTATTTTCTATCGATCATCACACCAACCAACATCTACCTACCTAGGTATGATGATGGACAGAAAATGAATGTGTAACAACAAAAAGTATTATATTTAAATAGATATAACAATTATTGTAATTTTTGACAATTGGTGCCACATTACAAAGTCAAGTAAACATAAAAGATTCTCTGAGGATGGGAAAATTGTCCTGAAATGTCAGATGTAATAGATGTGATTAAAAGAGACTAAAGAAAAATGAAAGTTGTCTTAACCTTAAAAATATATATAAACCGAAGCTTCCTAGAAAAAGAAAAACAAGAAGATAACTAAAAATACTTATTTGAAAATCAGTTTTTGGTTATATCTATTTTGAATAAAAAGAAACTTATATTTTTTATTCCTATTTTTGATATTGACAATAAAATGATACTTACTGATATTGAGATTGGTAGAGTGAAACAGAAGAGATATTTTGATCCCTCACTATTAAGAGTGATGGAAACCACTGTCTCTCGAAAAGTCCAGTTTTTCAAGATAAGAAATCCTTAAATCTCTCTACTTTTCACCATAATTCAAATGTTCTACATCTAACCTACATGTAATTATTTTACTTAATTTTGAGTATGTTGACTACGATCGTTCTTACTTCAATAAGACCGGATTACTTCTATACATATTTTAGTAGCATTATCTCGAAAACATTTAAATTTTTTACTGCAAGAATTTAATGAGCAACCAGACATGTCTACAAGGACAGATTAAGCGTTAAGTGGACTAGGCAGCCATGTAGAACCCCAACAGCAAAGGGTCCTGTTATTTGAAGTCTTAAAATATCTTAATATAAGAAGATTTTGGAAAATACCACAAAGATCTAAAAATCTTCATGAAATGTTTGATTAACCCTAAAAACTAAAGCCTCTAACTTGTATTATTCAAGTGTTAGTCTGCATTTTCTTGATTTTTTATTATTTTCTTCTTGTGTAAAAGGAATTTTGTATTGATACATCCCTTTTTTTCCTATTAGCTAAAAATCAATTTAGCAATAAAATAACTACAAAATATATTCCTTAAATTATTTATTCAATCATCATTAAATCTAATTTAAAAAAAGACATGTCCAACTTAAACGATAAAATATTTCATCTTCAATTCCCATTAAAACTTTTTTGAATTTGAAATCAACAATATAGTTTTTATTATTTAAGTTAAAATTAATTAAATACCAAATTAGTGAGCTAAGAATAAAAATTACACTAAATGGTAATACTCATGGTTCATAATAAAGTAAATGTAATTTTGTTTGCTTTGCAATGGCTCCTTAAAATATACAATAAAAAGTTCCAGTATCGATCATGCTTAAGTTTAATCAATAGAATGGGAATATGTATCAGCATTTGAAATTAGGTAATTAGTTACAAATATTTCAACAGGTTTAGTTTATTTTGTGAAAATGGTATGAGTCTGTTTGAGTTCCTAATAGTTTTTAACAAGTTTGACCCAATTTATAATAATGTCACAATTCGAAACATTTGTATACTTTGTCCTGGTAAGTTAGCATCTCTTATAATGGTTGTTAAGAAAGAAAAGAATTCTACTAAATTCCCTAAATCAAAAAAATAATATTTTATTGGTCTTTTAATCATTAAAAAAAAAAAATAACTTTAACATGGCAAAAGTGTTTGTATTCACAGATAAAGAATTCCTGTGAGAATATTCCTCAATGCGCCTTATTTAAACATTTTCACTTGATATAATTATAGTATTTTATATTCATTGATAATGAAATTAACTAATTATGATGACTATAATAAAATTTGAAAAAAATATGTGTCCAACACCCATACATAAAAATTCTGAATTCCGAATAGTAAATCTTGCTTAATATATCAATAACAATGAACTGTTAATGACTTTAACAACAAACTTTTAATAATTAATGAATATAACATTTAACAATTATATGTCACTTATTATTATTTTAATTTGCTTTCTGAAGCATCATTTTAGTGATTAATATATTTCTTATTTGATGTAACTCAAAATTAAACTATCTGCTTAAATCCTAATTCCAATATTTATTTTTTCATGAAAATAATGCAAGCATAGCCGGAATTTCGCGAATGTTATGTAACAATAATATTTGTCAATAATTAAACTGATATTATGCTCTTTGTGTAGTACCATAAGAATTTCAATGGCAATTAATGAAATTAAATACTCCATGAAAAAAAAAACTTACAGTAATGGGCTTTAAGAGTGCCCAACAACCATCTTGTGTTGCTTAATTAATCATAGAATGATTAGCCCTAAAAGAGAATAAATTTTCTTTGAAAACATCACATATTGGCCTGATATTAATTATGCAGGCATAAATATGAAAGAAAAACAAGTATTCAATAAGATATCTTTCAATGGTTTAAAATATTGATTTGATTTTTCTTCACAGTGGTTGGACTAAAAATCTAAGTAATGCATTTTAATTAATTTTAAAGGATACTCAAGAAAATGCAGTGGCCTTGGAAGAGAAGAAATCTATCAGATGTTTGGAAATGGCCACTACTTTCATGGTTAAATATGTTTGGGTGTTGGGGAGAAGAAGCAAAAACAGAGTCTGGTAGAAATTGGCGAATAATAGTTCGAACTCTCTCAATGCTATATTTACCTTATCTCCTTATGTCAATGATAATTCAAGGATTTCTAAAGTTCGCTGAAGGAGACATCATGCAAAATTTGTTCACTATATTTGCTGCTGGGCCTGGTATGTTGGGATTATTTAAGTTCATCAATGTTATCATATACAGAAAACAACTAAAATCAGTAATGGACAGGCTTTCTGGTAAGTTATTGGAAGATCTTGATTAACTTTGTATATATGATAACACTTTTACCAAGGTTTTTATCGAACACTATACATATCAATAACAATGACAGAATATAAACAGAAACAAATTCTCATTGTCCAAATCGGAATGGTACTGGGCTGCAAGATCTCTGATGGTGTAGAAGCCGATAAAGCAAGGCATAATTTAAAAAAAAATTCTAATGGGATATGTATTCCAGCTTTATGCATACCTACTTACAAATAATATTAATAAGTTTAGTTCTAATCAATTTACGTATATATAATGAATATCAACTAAGAACTCAAGGCATACCTCATGGTAATAACTGTCAAGGGGATTATAAAAAAAAACATAAATTTCTAAAATTTGAACTAAATTTATTCATATAGTGATAAAATTAAAAAAAAAATCTATAAGGTTACACAGCAAGCATTATTTATTCTGGTTTTGAAATAAATATTTATTCAAATATAGCAGTTCACTTCTAACTTTGAATATGCAACTAATCATGGTAAAGTCCAAATTATTATCACTACGTAACTCAGCTTAAATCTTTAGCAACTAATACAATTAATGCTAATTGAAAACTCTGTAATTTATATTGGTTCATCAGTTATTTTTATTACATCAGTGATCTCATTAATTTAATATTGGTTTATTGAAAATCATCTAATGAATTATCGTATGACACGCAAAACTTCTCAATTTTTGTAAAAGAATATCTTCCTTCTAATTATTTCATTAACTATTAATAATAGGATATTTGTACTGCAACAATGATTTTTGTGTATATTTTAAGTAAAGTTTCACAGTATAAAAGAAAGTGGATTATATGTTTGTTGAAATAAATTGGAGCATCAAAAGATAGTTCAAAACATTTTTTAATGAATAATTTTAATAAAAATTCAACTGCATTGGACCAATGACTATCTCGCCTACTACTAAATATAGAAATTCAAGTAGCTAAATCTAAAATAGCTTCAGTTGTTATATAATAAATTTGCCACCATCAAAATTTTTCGTTTACAAGAAAGGATTAGAAAAATCACTCTTAAGATTTGAAATTCATATATTACATATTCCTTTTGGTATTTAACCATCCATTAAAAAAAAAACACTAGGGTTATTTAATAGTTTAATATATACTATATAAAGAAAGACTGTATTTTTCACCACATTTATTTTCATTACTCCTCCAGAGTGGCAACGATGTTTCAGCTATGATGCGATTTTCAAACCATTTATTATTAGTTAATACTGATCTTTCTGTTCAGTCCATATGACATCATAGTCGAAACGGAGCCACTGTGGAGGAGAAACGAAAATAAATTTGGTAAAAAAATATAGCCTTTCTTTATATAGAAAAATATAAGCATACAGGAAATTTAATATATATGGGGAGTAGGTTAGCTCACTAGGGGGAGTGGGTAGGGCACTAATTTCCTAAGCTCAAGGTCCCGGATTCGAGTTTGGCTAGTGGCAGGCTATTCTTTTGGGGCACGCCGAGCCTAAAATAATTAATTAAGGAGGAAAACTTTACAATTGATCATGAATTGGTTCAAATTTCCTCCTTGCACAACCCTTGGCCAAGAAACAGTTCTTCCTTAGATAGTACTGAATTCAAGACCCTTCATGGGTTGTTGTAGTAGTACAAGTTTTATTTATGTTTTTTAAAATATACTTGTGTCTCGATAACTCATGACACTAAATATTACGTAATTTGGATCAGGGTAAAATGATTACCATTATAACTAACAGGTTGTATTATTTAACAAATAATGAAAAAAAGACTGGTAATTTTTTGCCTCTTTTTTTTCTAATTGTAATATTTTAGTGAATACCATATTTAATTACTTATTTAAGTTTCTTAACTTTTAAAAATAAACAAAAATACCTATTTATTGTTATGAGCATATATAAAAAAAATTTTAAAAATGTATTTGAGAACACAGATTATTAAAAGTAATAAATTTTACTTTTCAGCAATGTTTCCAGAAGCAGATAAACCCGTATTACAGCAAATAGCAAGAGATTCATTGAAACGAACTTGGATCTTATTTACAGCATGTGTGTCAGTCTTTTCCGCAAGTATAATAGACTGGCTCATACGCCCTCCGATTACTGCACTTATTCATCATGAAAAGACAAGAATAGTGGACACATGGCCAGTATTCTTGGACACATGGCTACAGTGGTTTCTTTCATATCTTCTTCAATGTCCCGGCATTGTGCTATTAGGCCATTCCAACTATATGTATGATGTTATATATTTTTGCACATCAGATGTTATCCTTTGCCATTTTAAATTGCTAAATTATAAACTGAAGCATATGGTGCTAACTGACAATGAAAAATCTACAAATGAACTTATTTCTTGCGTGAAGTATTACACTAATCTTCTTGGGTAACATTATATAACATAGTTTTCACATAGAATTATTTAGAAAAATATCCATGTCAAATGAATTTATATTTATTTTATAGTGTTTGTAATGACTTTAAAAATGCTACATCAAAAGTTCTCATATGGCAATTCCTTAACACAGTTATTATGCTCTGCACTGGAATTTTCATTCTAACAAATTTGGTATGAACAATATGCTGTTTTAATCACAAATCACAATCAACTATAAATGAGATTCCAATTTTTTTTTTCAGATTAAACAAACACCTTTTGCAGCAGTAATAAATCTATTTGAAACATGTTTATTTTTAATAACGATACTATATCTTTACTGTTGGTATAGCAATGAAATAACTTTTCAGGTAATTTTCCAAGAAATAGTTATTATTTATTAATATACAGATGCGGTCTCCAAACATTTTGGTCCACAGGCTATATTGAAAACTCCACTAAATCCCACGGGCTGTATTGAGACCTCCATCTAAGTCCCACCAGCCACGACTTGTGATGAAAAAAAAATGTTGTTCTATACATGACAATGTAATTGTGAAATGAGCTTTCTAAGACAAGAAAAAACATGCAATAAATGTTGTAACCTCCTATATGAGTAATTTGCTAAATTTAATATTTTTTAATTAGTTTTGAAAAAGTAAGTGTTTCTTATTTATACCATACGGGTTGCATAAGAAACAATCATTACTCTTATCTGTTTTTGACCTAAGGTACTTATAGAAATGTGTAGTAAATGTGGTAGCCAAGCACTCATGAGTCCCAGAGTGCTTGGTTCTGAACGTTGTGGGTTCGATTCCCACCTAGATCAGTTAATATTTATTTTTCGAGGGCTCTAGGAAAAAATAACAAGGAACAGTGGTTAGTAACAACGAACAAAAGGCTCACCAGCCAAACTAGTTTCCCCACCTATAGCAGCACCATTACCAATAAGGTACATATGTAGAAAAATACAAGAGATTACTTTGTAAAAGTGTAAAATAAGATTATAACTCTAAAAAAAAAATTATATTATGAAAACCTACAATGGCTAAGCACTTAAGATAAAGCTAATGAAATCTCTGTCATTTTTTGGGTTGTTTTATTTTTCAGATGAGCACAGATTGTTATTGTAATAGTCTTGAATACTAATTTCTATCTGTGGTATTGATATTGTATCCATTTAAGTCGATCAATGTCAATTTTATTTATTTTTATAGAGATTTTTAAATTAATGTAGAATGATAACCGAAGCTATTTGGGATTACAACCTTAGCGCATGGAGAAGGATCAAACAAGAACTACTATAAGAAACTGGTCAGTCAATATCTCATGATATTAAGGCAAGGAAGATAAGATGGCCAGGGCATGCTAGAAGCAATCCATGAGGACGCCTCAACACTACAATGAATGCCACAGTAGTAGGCGAGAGATCATATGGGAGGCCAGAAACCAGATTCTTCCAATTTCCTTCAACCTCCTTTATTCGCATTTATCACCTCTAACGTTTTGGGACAATTTTCCCACCATCAGAGCAATTCTTATATTCACTGAAACTTGCTTTTTTGATGTGGCACCATTTGCCAAAAAATTAAATATTTGTTACATTCATTATATATTTATTTGGTGTTACACATCCATTTTTTATTCATTCATTTTTCCACTTATAAGAAAAATAAGAAGATAAAAGTTCATTTGATGCATGGGCAGATTCCGTAGGGAAAATGAATCAAGATGGTCAAGTTTTTATTTAGTAAGAAGGAATTGCTCAAAAATTATAGAAAGTACAACACCATAAAGTAGACAACATTTTCTTTTAGAAAACGGTGATTAAATTGACTTCGGTCAATGACAAAAGGGTCTTTCAGGAGGTCTAATACGACTGCTGTATTGCTGTAGTTACAGTACTCATATAGGAGCAGCATAGGAGTGTTCTGTACAGCGGTCATATTAGATATCCTGAAACTCCCTTTCATCATTGACCTTAGTAAATTTAATCATTGTTTTCTCAAAAAAAATGTTGTCCACTTTACAGCGGTGTACAGTAACTTTATTATCTTGAACAGTATTTGAGCAACTCTTTCTCAATTAATAAAAAAAAACGTGACCACACAAAATTGGTCTTAACTCCTTTTTCGTTCAGAATCAGCCCAAGCATCAAATGAACTATTTTGTTGGCAATTTTGTCTAGAACCTGCCCCCACCCCTTCCTCTGCTGCTCAGAGTTTGACTATTAACTAGAACTGAGACACCCTGTATATATTTTTAAGAGGTATCAAAGATCGATCTGCGCCTCAAATGGTCTGAATACCCAACTTGGGAAACAATAGTTTAGTTTTGAGAAAAAAAAAGTTTGAAATGATTTTAACTGTATTTGTTGCTGTTACACAACTTAATGTGTAATTAATTTCGTTAATTAGACAACTTTTTATGCCTAAAATAAATTAAATTAACCAAAATATGTATAATATACGATTTTGGAGCCTAAATATGCAGCATAAAAATTTGTCAGAAGATTTAGAATGATTTAATTAAGAATATGGACACATATTTTTGAAAAAATAGTCATTTGTATACAAATATGAGCCTTAATTATATTAGTAATAAACTAATGTTTCAAAGTAACAAGAAAAGGTAAAAATATATTTTGTTTCAAAATGTTATATGGAATATTCATGAAAAGATAATTGGAAGTAATATTTTTTAGTGTTCGGATGTGTCGAATGCAGTTTATATGTCAGAATGGATTAATGCAAAAGCATCAGACAAAAAAACGATTTTGATTACTATGTCAAGAGCAGAGCAACTTATTTTATTTGGAGGAATTTTGGAAATAAGTTTAGACACATTTATCAATGTTCGTTCTTACTTTGATGTTCATATAAATAGTTCATTAATCATTTTTTAATTCATTTTCTTTGTTTATAGGTTTTAAAAACATCATTCTCGTTTTATAACTTTTTAATAGCAGTTCAACAGAAAAATAATGTTAATTTCTAAGATATTCATGATCTACCACTAAAAGTTATAAATTTTGATTTTCTATTGCACCCAAATTTTAGTTAGATAAGCTTTTATGCATATTGACTAACATATAATTAATAAATATGTAATCAAAAGATAATTTAAATAAATAGATAAGCAAACATGCCAATTTATTTTACTGTTTAAATCTGTCCCTTCCATCCAGGCAAGGATATGTGTAAGATTTTTTTCATACCCAAGTATAATGCTTAGTTCTCTTAAAATTTGTTCAAGATTAAAAGTAGGAGTATGGAAAAATTACACTCTTCTTAAAAACATTCAGGTACCTACTTATGTATATCTACCATAGTCTCAGAAAATCAACTGGTAAGTAAGAATACTTTGTAAGATATTTTATGTAGTGATTTAAAGAAACATATTCAGATATGAAAAGCAAATTGTTTTGTTTCTTAATTATGACCATTTAAATAAAGAAAATAATTTTTAATAGTTGCCTGAAAAGTCCAAAGATTTTTTAAAAATTTAAACTTGCATTAATTAAACATCCTCATAACTAGACATTATACAATACCAAAATCGTGTCTGAGCAATTACATAAAAATGACAGACCTCTTAGACCAATTGTAAATAATATAAATGGCATTACTGAAAAATTGGCTAAATTCCTAAATCAGCCTTAAACATTTAAACAATAATAATATATACGATGTGAAGAATGCAATGCAAGTAAAAGAAAAAATTAATAGTATAAATAGGATAGAGGAAAACGAAAATCTAGTAAGCTATGACGCGGAATCCCTTTTTACGAATGTTCCACTTAATGAAATATATAGAATACTGGAAAAACGGTGGGATGAAATAGAACCGTACACAGAAATAAAAGATAAAAACGTTTTTATGGAAGGAATCAAATTAATTTGCGAAAATGGCTATTTCTCCTATAATAATAATTATTACAAAATGAAAAATGGTCTACCGATGGGCGGATGTATGTCAATCAATCTTTCGGGCATATATCTGAACAATCTAATAGATAATGCTATAATTAAATGGGGAAAAAAACCGAAGCTTATTATAAAATACGTTGACGATATACTTGCAATAATAAATAAAAATGAATCTGTTAATTTTCTTGATAAACTAAATTATATATCAGATAAACTAAAATTCACAATGGAAATTGAGAATAACAACAAAATAAGATATCTTGATATGTATATTCACAGAAACGAAAGCGGCAATCTTAGCACGGCATGGTGCAAAAAAACAATAACTAGTGATAGAATCCTAAACTGGCACAGTAACCACAAGAAACATATAATAATTAACACAGCTAAAAATTTAATAAATAAGGCAAAATTAATAACAGATCAAAATCATATAAAAGAAATCAAAGCACAAATATATCAAATTCTATTAGAAAATTGGTACCCCATTCGATTAATAAATAAATTATGGTATAAAAATAAAAAGTTAATTATAAATGACAATAGTAACAAACAGATTATTGATATTAGCGATGATAGGAGTGAGAAAGTGAAGCAAAATATTAAAATTAATAAAGAACCGAATTTAATAACAAATTATTTTAAAACTGAAAATGCAGTAAAACAAAAACCTTCCATGAACGATATACATGACATTAAGACACAAATTGAAAAATGTAATGGGAACAAACAACAACCTAAAAAATATTTTAGCGTCTCATATATTAGAAACTTAACTGATAAAATTGAAAGAACATTTAAACAATACGATGTAAATGAAATTAAATTTGCAAGCAAACCAATTAATAAATTAGATACAATTTATTCGAAAACTAAAGATAAAGTACCTATCGATAAATTAACGAATATTATTTATAAAATAAATTGTAAGAATTGCAACAACAAAGCATATTTTGGACAGACATCCCAATGGTTTGAAAAAAGGCTTAAACAGCATAAACAAAATTGTAATTCAAAAAACACAAAAATTAAATTAGCTACTGGACTCTCGCAACATAATATGCAAACTAAACATGAGTTTGATTTCAAAAATGCCAAAATCCTACATAATGAAAGAAATACGAATAAACGTAGAATTAAATAATCAATATACATAACTAAAAACTTAAAAAACTCAGTAAATAATCATACAGACGTCGATAATATGAATACTTTTTATGCTAGTTCTATTGAAAAAATCAAAATTTGAAATAAATCAGCTAATATTACTTAAAATAGATCCACATGTAATATTGAGTAACAGCATTATATATGTTCATAATAAATAGTCTTCCCCTACTCCTATAAGAATAACCAGTCACTGAATAGAAATGAGATGGATGACATGTGGGTGACTCAGAAACAAGGTAAATTTAACTTATTTTGAATCATTTAATAGTAAAGAATTGAGTAATAATAATGTTGTTAAATAATTAAAGGTGAACATGACAATAATAAGGAATTTTATTATGAGTAGACGCTTGCAATTCGCATAAGTGAAAATGACAGGTACATGATGGGTATTTTAGGTACATAATAAGTATCTTTATAATTTGAAATATGTTAAAGTTAATATATGATTGTAAATGAAAAAATTTTTTAGACTTGAAAATGGCTCGACGAGCCGAAACGTCGTCATTTTGATGAGTAGTCATTAAGTGACAAAAATTTTTTTTAAATTGGTGTAAATATGGCTAATAATAAATTAACTTGAAAATAAATAGTATGCACCGAAGAAGAATTGAGTAATAGCAATAAATATTTTTCCATGATACAATATGTTTGACTGAGTACGGTATTCTTGGACTTGGGTTTACTCAGTAGATAACTTGGCAAATAATATAAGTTATTTTAAGTTTATTAAACTTTTTCAAAGTTACCTTCAGCAAAATGTCACCAAATTTGGCTAATTACATTTGATTTTGTTTACACCAATTCTTGAAAATGTTAATACAATTTTGCTATAAACCAGAATAAAAAGAAACTTCAAAATATTATAAACGTTTTCGTTAGATACAATAACAGTTTGTTATCAATCATGTATCTAATACAAGGTATAGACATCAAAATGTCATTACCTTTAAAATATAAGAATGGTACCAGTAACATTTCAGTGCAAACCTTCTTAAGGCTCACAGTTCAGTAGTCAAGCTGTACAACCATGAGGTAAAAAAATTAAAATATTTGTAATAAATATATAAAACTATAATAAATAAATAATTATAAAATACAATTTCAATCATTGATTTAGTGACCAACATATAGGATAATAAATATCAATTAGCAATTAAAAAAAAGTGATAGTGTAAGAGTTTTTTGTAGCATATTAGTAGATTCAGGGATGCTGCCAATCCTGGACAAATTTATCCGAACAAATTTAATCCATTTTGAGATAACTAATCATCTTTGCTTGATTATAATGTTATATTATCTTTACATATTGCTTTAATTTGTAGACAGAATATTATGGATATGAATAAAAAACATTTCAGCAAAAATAGGCGACTAATTGAACCATTAAGAATAAAACTGTATCTAAGAAGTTAGTTAGGGTGTGCGCTAAACAGTCACTCACATAGCATAGAGTAATGAAATGAAAAATTACTTTATTATTCTGAGACAAAGTCCCTTAAGAATAAAATTAATGCTTATTGGATAGCCATAATGATATAATAATGCTTGGCTATCGAATAAGCACTACATAACATGTTATAGGAATGACTACAGCCACTAACATTTCTTTAAATTAAAGCTAAAGTAAATGATTTCCGTATTATCATAAACCTATATAACTCTTACCTGGTGATGGTAGGTAATTGACTTTTTGTCATAGGTAAGAAACTGTCAGGACTCCTTCATTATGATATTTTTTAATTTATAATCCAACAAGAACACAGGCAATCTTCAGAGCTAAAAAAAAAAGATATATAAGTAAGAATAATTATTATCTATTATTATAATTTTTCCATACTTATAGCATCACTAATTTCATTTTTCATGGAGATGGCTTACATTTGGACAGTTGGCCTAAGGCATTCGGCAACCCCAGGCAATTTTGTCATAAGTATTTCCCAATCTTATCTCCAAAATTCCCAACACATGGTAGGCACCCCTTTAGTATGACACCCCCAGGTGCGTGACCAGCTCTATGGCCTATACTGCTGAAAGGCTATTACAATAAAAGTGATCATAATGAACATGTCCTATCTATTTACAACCCACCACTCTTTTATATTTAGGAACTCCTATCCCTTAGACTGTTCATATTTGTGATAATGGGTAGTTAATAGATCACTAAATTAAACTTAAATGATAATATAAAATCAATTAAATTGGATATTCGGGTATCCACTCTCACTGGATGACATTAGTTTTTTATATGACCATTATCAAACCTATGAATATCATCCTTAGAGTTAGCCTTAACAATCAATCAATGATTCTACATTATTTAAAAAACAAACAATTGTTTTGAATTTCTTGAAACTATCTACTAGTTTTGTATGACATTTGTAGAATACCTTTTAATTGAATCCTTAATAAATTATTTTATAATACAGGACATCTAGTTTTTGAACTTAAGTTATTAAAGAGAAGACTAAATGACTAACAGACAAGATTCATCTCTAAGAAGATGCATAATAAATTATTGTTCCTTATTTGACTAATTTTGATGAAGATTCTAGAATGAATACTTAATTAATCCGCTACAACTATAACCTAGCTCAACTAAGAAACATCGTATTTTATCTACCAGTAGAATTTTTAAAAAATAAGGCTAAAGTTTGGTTTAAAAGATGGATTTATTTATT